AAAAAAAAAAAAAAAAAAAAGAAGTGATGTTTTTTTTGCCGATTTGAACTTGGACGAGGATGTTGCCATTAAGTGTTTTTCTTGCCTATATGAACTACGACGACGTTCATGTTGCCATGACGTGTTTTACCTGCCTATTTTGAACTAAAAGTGTGACTCCGGAGCAGTTTCCTCAATAATTTAATATGTAATAACAGTAACATTCAGCCACATGAACTGAGTCTTTTCAGAATCAGATTCTTTGTTTCTCTCCTAGTAAACTGGGCACTGCTCAGTGGGCAGATTTTCCCTTTTTCTTCCGGTCAGGGCATAATAGCCCCACCTAGCTGCTAATTGTTCTCTGGTTTAACCTTCAGTACCCATCCCAGCTATCCTGCACCTGCAAGAGGCCTGCACTGCCTGCAACTTTCCAATCAGAGGTCGGGTTGAAAGAAATGCGGTCTTAGTTAGCACAAAAAGATTAGCAGAGCGGCTAGACCACCTTTTAACCGTGAAAGAGCTAAGCTTAACTATGCAAACATTTGAAAACATGCTGTAGCGGCAAGTACCCGAGCAAACATGGTCTAGCAATAGAATTGTACAAAGAAAACACAAAGTATGCTTTTTGTGTGACGATGTTTGTTTTTGTGTGACACTGTGTGTGTGTGTGTGTGTGTGTGTGTGTGTGTGTGTGTGTGTGTGTGCTAAAGCACTGGATAGTATGTACAACATACTATATGGGCCCTAACTCACTGTGTTGGCAGATCTTTGGGTGACGATCATAGGGCGGGAGCAGCGTGACGAGGCAACTAGACTATACGTTCCCTGTGATTCCTCAGGATCATGGTAATTGCAGACTTACTATTAACCAGAGATTTTTTAATCAGCATATGATTGCCTCCCCTTAGTCTGCTTCTCTTCGGGGGTTGTTTCTAAGGGGGGAGGGGTTCATATGTAGGGTGACTCAGGGAGCTCTTCCTTTTCTCCACTTCACAGGTCAAGGGGGGTACATATTAAATAAAGTAAATAAATGAATAAACCTTACTTAATCAGATGCAGCTTCGGCTGTAAGTATGCCTGAGATTCGGGGGGCATAGAAACAAGCGACTATGGCCGTTTGCATATTATCTATGCTCCTCTAATGCTAAGTACTTCTTTATGCGAAAAGGTAGAAAGGAGCTCCTGGTTCCTTTTAAAGGACCGTGCAGTGATTTCCAAGGAATGAACGTCCATAATTTCTGTTTTCTTTGGCGCCGTGCGTCTTTTTTTGCTAATAATAATAATAATAATAATAATAATAATAATAATAGCAAGAAAAATAACTAAAATAGTCATAATACAGATCTAGTAAGACAGTGCAGTGCTAACTATTTTTCATGGGGATTCATCACGAGTTCACTAGGGATCTGGGGGGCGTGAATACGAGTGATGATGCTCGCAGGTCATTTACATTCCTTGGCGAGAATCAACATTTCATCGGACGTAAGTTCACCTGAGATCCGGGGAATGTAGATCTGTACAACGATTGTTCGTTCATATGCCATCTACGTTCTTCGAATGGTCGGTGCGCTTCCTAGTGTTACAAGAACACATATTCAGAAGGAAGAAAAAAGAAGAAGAACTATCGTTTTTCTCAAATGCTCGTGTAATCATCTATAAGGAATTCAATTGCCTGAGATTAGGGGAGCGTAAACATGAGCGATGATGCGGATGTTGTGTACGTTCCTTGGATGTCTAGCGGATCACCGAACTTCATAGAAACAAATAACGAAGGACACGAGACAAAGATAGAAGGGGAAGGAAGGAAAAGAGGAACGGAGAGAGGAAATTGAACAAAAAATGGGAAGGCAAGATGAGCGAAATTCCGAAGTAGTACGAAGCCTAGTTAAACAAAGTGGTCTACCATAATTTCCATGCCTCATCGAATCGTGAGTGCGCCTGTGAGCCAAGGAATGTTAATATGAACAATGTTGGTCGTCCGTTGTTACCGTTCATCGGCTGCCCAGCATTGTACCAAGTTTCAGACAGCCAACCTAGCACTCTATCGTTTCTCAAAGACAACGTTATTTAAAATCTGTCCAAGGAAATTTATTGCAAGTTGGCTTCTGATATGGGGGGCGTGAATATGAGCGATGATGCTCCCAAGTCATTTACGTACTCCCGATGTGAAGTGTTCTCTTGATCTTTAGTCAATAGAAAAATGGAACTAAGATGAGGGAGGGGAACAAAAAAAACGGAAAAAGGAGAAAAAAACAACAAATAAAAATAAAAATTTGAAAACAGGTGAAGTTAGGTGATGTTTCTAAAGAAGTACGAAAGCAAACAAGAAGGGAAGCAAAAAAAAAAAACAATCATCTCGTATGATTATAGCCAAGGTGAGTGTCACAAAAAGGAGAACTCAGTATCACTCTCATTACTGATCGAACATTAGAGAATTGCTTCCACCATCGTCGATCCTTCATCTGAGCGAAAGAAGGAAAGAAGCAAAGAAAGAGAGAGAGAAAGGAAGAAGGAAGGACAGAGGGAGAACAAAAACATCCCGCATCAGGTCATGCACCTCTAGACACTCCACTCGGCGCCTAGGGGTACCATGAGCACAACTGACCGATCCGCAGGAAGGGAGTGGTCATCCCTGAAGCGCTTTTCTGCTTCGGCCACATGGAGCTTCATCAGAGGGAACATCTTCCATGGTCTTTGGAAGGAAAGGAAAAATGGGGGGAAGGGGGAAGGGAAGTACGAGAGATTGAGGAGGGGCTGGGGGTGGAGATAGGCAAAGTTAGGACGAATAGGAGTAGTGCTAGTAACATCATTCTTTGCAATGGCTCGGTCACGAGCCAAACACTCTTCCGTAGAAAGTTTATTGGATCATGAGGCCTCCCAACACCCCTCGGTGTCTGCATCCTCTACAACGAGTTTGAAAGTAGCCTACAATTTTTTTAAAGAATTATTCCGTTCATCCAAAGATCCTACCTACTTTCAGGAGGACGCCCAAGCCATTCTTCTTTTTCTAGAACCACTTTTCCAATCTATTACTCAAGAGCAATGTGACATCCTAGAAAGACCACTAACCAAAGATGAAATTTGGACGACCTTAATACAAATGGAGGAAGATAAGCCCCCGGGGATGGATGGTCTTCCTAAGGAGTTTTGTCACAACTTTTGTGAAATCATGTGGCCTACCTTTTCATCAGACTTAATACAGTACTTTCAAGAGGTTTGGGAGTCAGGCAAGATGGGTGAAATAGTGAGTCAGGGGATACTTACCCTACTATACAAAAAAGGGGATAAGACGAACATCAGGAATTACAGACCAATAACTTTATTAACAATTGTTTACAAGTTATTGGCAAAGGCACTTGCTAATCTAATGATCCCCATCATGCCAGATATAATCCACCCCTCTCAAACTGGGTTTATAACAGTGCTGGTCCCCGGATGGACCGGGGGACCTTCGACGGACCGGGAGCCTACCGGTCCAACCGGGCGGTTCACTGGCCCGGCAGGCCCCCGGTTCGATTTGGCGCACTCCATTTGGGGGGGGGTACGGGGGATTTTCGGGCGTCCCCGTCCCCGCCCACCCTCTGGGAGGCTGCCGCCACAAGTGAAAAAAAAAAAAAACGGGCCCTACCGGACCCTGTTTTCTTTTGAGAACACGTGGCCAATCTCAGCCGCCGATCCGCGTAGATCGACAGTGGAGATCGACCCCGCGTTTCCAACAAAAAGGGGGGTCCGGTAGGCCCCCGTTTTCAAATTTGAAAACGCGGTCGATGTCGACCACAGATCTGCGGATCTGCGGTTGAAATCGGCTGCGTTTTGAAATGTGAATCACAGCGTGGTTTTGTGCTGCCTCCGCCCCTCCGCCCCGCCTGCCCCATGCTACAGCAACATCACACAACGTTGACGTCGTGCCATTCAGCATGCACGTCGACGTTGTGTGATGCCACCACGCGACCAGTGCCACCGCCCCGCCTCCGAGTCCAGCCCGCCATCAACCTCTGTGTGCAGCTGCTTCGCCCCGCCAGCCCGCTTTGTCGCAACAGCCCCCCATAGCCGCGAAGGTAAGTCCACCAGCGCTCCTCCTCCTCCTCCTCCTCTTCTTCTTCTTCTTCTTCTTCTTCTTCTTCTTCTCCTCCTCCTCCTCCCCCTCCTCCGCCTCCCCCTCGTCTTCTTCTTCTTCTTCTTCTTCTTCTCCTCCTCCTCCTCCTTTTCTTCGTCTTCTTCTTCTCCTCCTCCTCCTCCTCCTCCTTCGTCCTCTTCTTTTTCTTCTTCTCCTCGGACTCCTCCTCCTCCTTGTCCTCGTCCTCATCATCTTTTTCCCTCCTCCACTTCTTCTTGTTCTCCTCCTCGTCCTCTTCTTCTTCATCTTTTTCCCTCGTCCTCTTCTTCTTCTCCTCGTCCTCTTCTTCTTCTCCTCCTCCTCCTCCTCCTCCGCTTCTTCTTCTTCTTCTTCCTCTTCTTCTTCTCTTCCTCCTTCTCATCCTCATCATCTGTTTCCCTCCTCCTCCTCTTCTTCCTGTTCTTCTCCTCGCCCTCTTCTTCTTCATCTTTTTCCCTCCTCCTCCTCCTCATCCTCTTCTTCTTCTTCTTCTCCTCCTCCTCCTCCTCCTCGTCCTCTTCTTCTTCTTCTTCTTCTTCTTCTTCTTCTCCTCCTCCTCCTCCTCCTCCTACCTCCCTGCTGAGCCCGAGCCGTAGCGGTAGCGTTTTCGTTTTTTCTTTTTTTCATCTCGGAATCTTCTTCTCCTTCTCCTCCTCCTCCTCCTCCTCCTCCTCACCTCCCCGTTGAGCCATATCCATAGCCATAGCAAGCGCAGTCGGATGCCGCCATAAAACCTGTCCCCACCCCCCGAAGAAATTCCTGACTTTGCAAATTTTATTGCAGAATCCGACAGATCTCAGCGAGCGCAGTCGGATGCAGTAACCAGAAAAAAAAAAAAAAAGATTTGGGCATTTTTTGGGGGCATCCGGTTTTGCCGGTTCACTCACCCCGGACCGGTCCGGCCCCGGTTGGACCGGGGCAGGTGATCCGGCCGGTTGCTGGCCCAGCCCTGGTTTATAAATGGTCGACAGATAACATTCTTCTAATTAATGAAATGGTCAAAGTCTTGCGTCAATCTAAACAGGAAGTTATTTGGTCAAAGTCTCGTGTTAATTTAATGTGAAATGGTCAAAGTTTCGCTTCATAGAATAATAGTGAATGCTACCTTGCTACCCAAATAACTTACATGCACTTTTTGTTTTTTAATGGCAACTAACATGCACATTGCCCACACACATACACTGTCACTCAGAAGCCAAAAAAAAAGGGGCAAAAAAAAGGGAAAACAAAACAACAGCTTAAAGTTTACATTTTCGAAATCTCAGCTGTTTGGAAATCATGCTTTTCGGTGTTTGGGTCACATACCCGATGGTTGGCGCGCTGTTGAACCGAATGACCGCTGTGTGCCGATCAATTTGATTTCCGTATAAACGCCGTCCTTTCTTCAGCGAGTCTGAGCTGCCCACGACTGCACATGTGGAGAAGTCGACCAGCTATCGATTGCGTTGTTCGGAACAGACGAAACATCACAGTGACTGCGGTCGCGGAAAATTAACTAATTAAGTCTCGAAGTGTTAATTTAAAAGCGTTTGCATTTCTTCAACCAGCTATCTTTCATTCTTTCTTTCTTTCTGCTTTTTCTTTTTTTTTTTTTTTTCGTGGGGAGCCGCACGTGCTGGGAACCGGTCCCAGTGTCCCTTATAATGAGAGTACATCAGGATAAATGGGAATGCAAGAACTGATTGAGATTTCAAGGATTGATTGATGATGACGATTCATTGTTCTTTTTTTTTTTTTTTGAAGGCCCTTGTGCAAAACCTCTATCCTGGTCGTGATAAGAGCACCACCGAGATTGAGGCTTTGCCCACCGGGCTGCTCCATCTATTGGTGGGGAGCCACACCTGCTGGAAACCGCGTCCAGCATCTCTTAACACAGTTTCTGAATCCAGATTCTTGACGATACAAAAGCTGTCACCAGCTTCAGCTACAGACTAGTTAAGAATCTAATTAAGGACTAACTCTGGACTAGATCCCTTTTTTTATAGTAAACCTGCCGAATATGAAAAAGATGATGACTACATATGCAACACCCCGCCTTACAATCTATGGGGCAACACCTAGATTCCCCTGAATTAAATCCAGGTTCAGCACTCCAAAGACGAACCCAGCCTGTCCAAAACCCGTCATGGCTGTTGTCGCTGTTGTTTTCTCACTACCAAGAGTCCAAGACTAAACCCGGGCTCAAAGGTTGGCTTGGCAGGCCCTCCTACCGTCTTCACCCGAATAGAACGCCCGGTCATTATAGCTGCATTTGGCCCAACTTTCCGTCCACATGCGGTGATAATGACCGGGCGTTCTATTCGGGTGAAGACGGTAGTTCGCCACTGGATTGCGTTCCTCCCTCAACAAATCCCCAGATCTGTCTAGCAGGCCTCAAGGCTCACACTCCTGCTACAAAACAGGAATAGCACTGAAAGTTGGAGGCAGAAAGAAAGAAGTGGGCAAGGCAGCAAGCACACGAACGACTTCACGGGAATAGAATACCCAGTCGTTATAGCCGTATTTAGGCCAGCTTCCAGTCTAGATACAGGAATAACGACCTCGTGTTGTATTCGGGTGAAGCATTCGGGAGCACTTCCTCTTTGACTCTCAGTGGTGAAAGCTGATGTGGGACTTGGGTTTGAGGCAGTGCCCCCTGAAGCAGTGCCCGTTGAAGAGCTCATAGCCTCGCAGTGGCAGCAAGCCAGAGTTCCCACACACATAGCAGAGTTGATGGGGCCTGATGCCAGGCTGATGGTGTCTCGTGTTCGTGAGCATGTGTAGATTGGAGAAGGTTTAAGATTGGTTATGCTCCGTGTTTGCTAAGCAGCCTGAGCTGCTCATATTTACCCATTGTGTGGGTGCAGTAAGGTTCTGTATTCCTTACACTTCTTCTTCCTCCTTTCTGTAGTCTTTCATTTCCATCTCTCTTCTCTCTCTCTCTCTCTGTCTCTCTCTCTCTCTCTCTCTCTCACACACACACACACACACACACACACACACACACACACACACACACACACACACACACACACATTGTCAATCCAACTCCCAAGTGACACTCTGTCTTTTCCTGTGTGTTCACGATGTCCCGCACACTGGCAAATCCGCAGGTACCCCGGCGTTTCTCTCTGCCATTCACATGCTTCCCCCCC